GTCTTTCATCCCGAATCCATTCGAGGAGTCCGGTGATGGAAGTGTCAAATGCATAACCGCTGAAATTAGAGCCAAGCACGCGGTAAGCTTGGTTGCGGGAAGTCGCCAACTGTTCCTTTACTTGCTCCAGGCCGCCGAACGAGGACGTGCGGTCTGTGCTAGCGCGTGGTCGCTGCATAAAGACTGAGGGCATTGGTTTAGCTGACCGGACTGTGACATCCGGAATATCTGGGGGGGCGAGAGCTGAATACGTGCCCCCATTGACACCATTTGAAATAGAAGAGATTGATGTGTACTGGAAGCCGTTTGTCGACGAGCTGCTGACTCGCCGAAAGGAAGAGGAAGTCATACTAGATTGTTTCTCGGCCTTGACAGCCGAAGAGTCTTGTCCTGCAAAGAGAGTTGTGGTTAGCAATCACCTTTTCGGCTGGGGAGGGGAATTTTATACCAAACGGTTGCCGCAACAGACCGAGCATGATGACAGTCCACCCTGGGAAAGTCAAAAAGTCTCACTCAGACGGCTGCCAGTTTCTCAATGATGAAAACTGAGAGGCGGGGAACGCGGGCCATTTGAGCACTGAGCTATATACTCGAGCATGAGAGAGTTCCTCGCTCGGCCCTGGGAAGTTCCACTTGTTTAGCTATGTCCGCGGATGCAACATACGTATATCCTCAGCCCTCCCTGCTGGGATGTGTTTTGTCGAGACCCTGTGATCAGAGACGGCGGGGGATGTCGGGTCTACTGCCAGGAGCAAGTATCCATTCCATCCATGAGATCGTCCTCAGCCCCTCCTCGATGGCCGAATCACTGGCTACCACACCTGGGAAATGTGAAAAGTTATCGACGATGGTCTTGGTCCTCAAGCGCCTTTCTGGGAAGACGGAATTGCTCACAACCAGCATTTGATGCCTACCCGCCGACCACAACGTTTGGGCCGCTCTCAATCCCCGCCGATATGCAAGCCACCTACCATTTCGGACAGTCCGGTCAAGCGCAGCTCAGAGGTTGAAGCATCAGCATCCTCGGTGCAGCTCTTGGATGAGTATTCTCTCAGGGACCTGAGAGAGGATACGTAAAGGAAGCTGGAAGGATCCTCCTAGCTGCATGCTAGAGCTAGACATATTCGCTTAGCGGAATACACCGACCGAACTGTTTCGATGTCAAGCTGTCTCCGCAATAATGTAGGGTCCTTCTGCCTTCGCTCGAATTGGCAGGGAATTGAAAAATGCGTCTTGCATTGATCATAGCAGATTCGGTCATTGCACACAGCCAGACAGCCGCGGTCTTACGAGACCACGTCCGTGATCACACTTGTTGCTTCGACATCGGAATAGGAATGCGGGTTTGACATGGCTTGCATGACCTATTCGCTGATGGCTTGGGTTGAGTCTAGATTGCGCCATCGCTAACTGTCGAGGAGTTGGAAATGGCTGGGCATTCCATGCTGCTGCGCTTCTGCACAATTTTAGTCAAAGTGGACTTGATACGTACATTTCCCCTCGCCTGAATGAGACCTGAGATGTCACCAAATCGGTGGGCTGCTGCATGTGTTGTCCAACGAGGTGCGGACGGAAGCTTTGGCCTAACCCCTTCGTGGCGAGGACCATCGTCGGACAAGCGAGAGAAGATCTTTTCGGCAGCAGCTCTTTGTCATCTGCAGATTCTGGCGATGCCTCGCAAATCGATGTGGACTGCCTGAAGCGCAGCATCCCATAGAGGGAGAGAGGGGTTGAGAGTGAGTTTTGTGCTGAGAACGAATTAACCCACTAGTCGGAGGGTGGCCTCGGGTGGTTAGGTCACTAGGCTAGGCTCTCGTATACTAAGTACTTAGGCTAGACACTCACCCGCTAGGGGTGCCGAACGCCGGAACCGGGCGGAGTGACAGCCTCTTCAAGGCCTGCCAATCGCGTCGGTGACTCGGCTGTGCCCCCGGCAAGTCCCTGGAGGAAACGGTCATGCCGATCGAAGGCTCCCCGCATCCAGAAGCGTCATGACTATGCCAAGTCCGGAGGCACCAGCACCAGCCAGCGGTCCGCCAATGCATGCAGCCTCGTCGTTTCTGGAAAGGCCGCACCCTCTTCAGTACGTAAAGACACCACGGGATTCATCCTCCAACTTTTATTAGATCCCCTGCCGGTGCTCCTTTTGCACAAGATCGTACTTTCGACAAGCGAATCCGGACGTGATTGGACCGCTCTCTTTCCTTCCGTGCTTGAATTGTCGTCTCCATTCCCGAGGGCGGTGTTCAAGCCCAGCGGTTGACAAAAGCAGACATGGACGAGTCACCAATGGCAGAGTCCAGATTTGGGCTACCTTTGAGCCATTCTATGCTGCGAACGTCTATCTTACACTCCTTGTCATCAACACGAGCTTGCTTACCTTTGTTGCATGTGCAATTTTGTCCCTTACGTGTTTCCAAAGGTACAATGCCAGCATACGAGGCCTGTGCCATGGACGACTTGCGTAAATTGCGCAATGCGGAGAAGGCGGAGGAAGCAATGCTCCCCGGTCATCCCAAGATGGAGGGAACACTTAGGGCACCGGCAAGTATCCAATCGGGCTTTGATGGATCTTTAGTGCTCGCTGATCATTTCGCACCTTGCTAACGGAACAATGATTGGTTCTACAGTCTGCTTGGATAGACTTGTACAGGAGATCGCCTGCCATAGCATGCAAGAGTATAGAGAAGGGAAAAGGTGAGGATGGTCTGCGCAAAAAGTGAAACTGAATCGAAATTCATCAGACAATCTATGCACATGTCTTGTTCCCCGCCTGGCTTAACAGCTGTGTTCTTTTCTGAACAGCGGGGAGCTTAGGAAGCGTGCCTGCATGAAGAGTTTGGGGGAGGGGGAGGGGGATGTGAATGAAAGAGGGATGTCGCGAAACTCTATTCACATGCTACCAGGTCTCTCGAACATGGAGACGAGGTTGGGTCGAGCCCAGTTGGGTAACCCATTTGGCTTCAACGAAACTTCTGCATGCCCTCACCACAAACCCTGTCCAAAGAAACCTATCCTGATTCTCCCCAATCCAAAGGTCACATCATTCAATGTCATGACTGCGAAGACAATGGCGATTGAGTTGGGACTGCTGTGACATCCAAACACTCCACTTCGACTCTTTTGGGGTTTCAATCATATCACCGACCCGGTATTTGCTGCTCTTTGACGGCTTCGAATGAATGGAAGATCACTTTCGGGATCGGAACAGTTGGGCTTGAGGCCGGAAAACTCTGCCGAGCAACATACGGGCTGGTGCTGTTCTGTGAGATTCTCACTGTACTTTTGCCTCGTCGCGCGTAAATTTTGCAGTTTTTTTGTAGGTCGTTGAGGTATTCCCACGTAAGGTCACGACATCGCGGTATCCTTCCTTTGGTTATACCTTGATGGTGCCCACTTCCGGACTATCTCGATACTGGATGTGCATCATAGGAGCAAGAATCCTTCTGTACAAAAGTGAGCAGTGCTTTAGGGACGTACTCCACCATCGACAAAAACCATTTAATGGCCAGAAAAATATCAGATCACCCCCTCTTGACATCCACGTCATTCAAGGATGGGAACCCGACTGAGAATATTCCAAGGTGTGAATCCCAGGCGCCGAAGGCCTGTCGGGAAGGTAGGTGATCACTTGACCACAATTTTGGCTAGGTTCACGTAGGTCCTTGCAGAAGGTGAAGCCTGCAAAAGGCTGAGCGAGTTGAAAAGACTATCAGCGTTACTAGTGCCGTAGCCAACCGTGATTTAAACTCTCGAAGCTCATCCGTTCTCTTGCACTCTACCCTGCTCGCCTGGCCAGCAATCCCTACTCTGCTGATTGCTCTAGAGGCGGCATTTCAACGGTCGGCGAGAGTATGTAGCGATCCCGGCTTTTGAGTCGGGACGAGTGTCTCTGGTGATGCCTCTGAAAGCTGTTAGGTTGTGACATTTTTGAGATGGCAGCTTACGACTTGTGCAGGAAGTCTCGCTTGAGTGAACTCGTGGTGCTCGCGATCGTGGTCCACTTCGCAAACCATCTAGCAACTTAGGTAGCTACCCACTGGCATCCAGGAGGAGGCCGTCGTTACCCACTAGGTAGCTTGCGAGCTTGCTGGGTACGTACCTGTAAGTACCAGGTCGCTAGCACCACGGTTCTCAACCAGCTTCGTTTACGAATAATACCTCGTGTAATTTGTTGTCCAATACGAGGTAGATGGTAGACCAATGTTGTCTCTTCTACCCTCGACAGATTAGTAGGTGCCTAAACACCCCGGCCCGACGAATGTCAGAGTGTTCCTGGGCATTTCCAAGCTCAGAACACATGCGCTCTGGTGTGTGTTGGGAAATACTTGCAGCCGTAGCTTAAGTAAACCGAGTTGTTCACAACAGCAACGACCAGAAGGACGCTCAGCGACGGGATGCCACAAGCTGTTCTGGTGGTTGCCTCGAGAGGTTTACCACGTAGTGGTGGCGCCGAGATGGGACATGAAAGAAAGCAAGGCCTCAAGACGCAATGACTGATAGGGACCTGTAGTAGAAGAAGGAAATCGGATTGCCATCAGAATGCTCGCTCTGCACAAGATTAGTTCGTTGTCATCTCAGAGCTGACCAGCTTGGCAGCTGATTTCAGTCACGTGCAAGGCCCCGCCATTTTGCTCTACTTTTACTCGGTAGACGTGCTCCTTTTCTCCCTTTCAAAAAAAAAACACTCCTCTCACCTAGGAGAAGCATCACTAGTCGAGCTGAAAGTCCGCAGAAATAGCCAGAGAGCTAGACAGCTACCCTGAGGTCTGTTACATTTGTTTATATCCGATATCTTTCGGCAATCGCTGTGGTTGAGTCGGCAACACCAGTCACACAATCTACTTGTACTTGCTCCAAGGTGGGCTTTAAGGTCCTCTTTTTTTGGCCAATCAATTTAACTGCCCGCAACATCCTCATTTTGGAGGTGATTTCAGAGATTCAATCTCTTCTCTACCCGGCAATCCAACTCATTATTAACGTCTCCGTGCATTTTCGATATGGTAAGCGCAAAGTGGACACAGATCCTGGACACGCAGAGAGTCAAGAGATCATCCCAAGCCCTCTCTGTGATTGGCAGTGATGCCTATATATACGGTGGAGAGATCAAGCCCCGTGAGCCCGTTGATTCGGACATCCACGTAATCCATCTTGCTGAGGGTCAGTTCTACCCTTGAAGTTCGCGGGCGAGGTTATTCAGAACAACCGGGATGTTAACGTCTGGACAGTTCAGAATGACGCGGACTTGGTGTCCAAGATTACGGCATCGAACTCGGGCCCTTCGCCACGGGTGGGAGTCCTCTCCACGGGGCTGGATGGAAAGTTATATGTCTTCTCTGGGCGGGGAGGGGTCGCTATGAGTCCAATTGAGGAGAAGGGTTCGCTATGGGTCTTTGATCCTGTTGAAGAACAGTGGGCGCGCGTTGCCCCCAAAGACGAGACCTTGCCATATCCCGAAGGTCGAAGCTACTATGCACTTACATCCGATGGTCATGACGCTATCTTTCTCCATGCTGGCTGTCCGGAAAAGGGGAGACTCTGCGATCTCTGGTCGTTCAATATTATGGACCGCGCATGGAAACGGTTGGCTGACGCGCCAGAACCTGCCCGAGGCGGCCCCTCGATTGCATTTTCAGATGGCAAGTTGTACCGCATGAATGGTTTCGATGGCAAGACCGAACAGGGTGGCAACCTTGACGTGTATGATGTCGCCAACGACATCTGGACAACGATTGCATATCCCGCAGACGGCTGTTCTGGCCCTCCAGCGCGGAGTGTAAGTTGCCTTGTTGCAATCAGGATATCAGGGAAGCCGGTTTTGGTCACCGTGTTTGGTGAGAGTGACCCGAGCAACCTTGGTCATCAAGGTGCCGGGAAGATGCTGAACGACGCTTGGATTTTCCATATTGACACATCAATCTGGACGAAGGTGGACATGTCTGGATTAGATCGGCCTGCTGCACGGGGTTGGTTCGATGCTGATGTCTTGCAAAGCTCGCCATCACCAAAGGTTGTGATCCACGGAGGCCTTGCCGAGTCTAACGAGCGCCTTGGGGATCTCTGGACGCTGGAATTTGATGATTGAATCCACAATCGATATGGTTTCTGGCAGGCCACAGTTGTGGCACAAGCCGCTGCTTTCATTTAAACCCCGAAAACACAGTCCTTCTAATGCATTTGGTCCTCGAGCACTTTGATCCTAAAAAGTCTCAATATAAGCTTCACGCCAATCGATCAAGAGTTTGCAATTCTTTTAATCACATTGAAAAATCCATAGGAGGCTACCTTCTCTGCTGCTACAGGTGATTGTTTGCTGAGAATGGTTTAGCCCCAACATGTGCTCTCTCCCCGTGGTGCAGCAGTCAGGTACAGCAGCCTGACTACGCTTGCTGTTGCGCTGCTGTCTTCGCACGCACAGTCTTCTCTAGTGATGGCTTTGCGGGTGCTGTCGTGGAGTCTCTATGCAACGAGCACATATAAAACCACCGATCACTGTTTCTCGCTCTGTCGCCTGCTTGGCAATGCCGAACACACCGTGGTGACCTGCTTTTGACCCGACTAACCAAGTCCTGTCCCTAGGTTCCTCCTATAGTCCTTAGAAGTACATACCTCTGGTGTTTGAACACGCCTCATTCACGGAGCTCAAACGGGCTACGGGGAAGAGGCCACCTGCTTTGCACGGAATCAACCTCATACAAAGCCTTGTTGACCCTGTCCTACAATCACTCATCGCAAGGGGGCGCACCCTGTAACGTCCAGAAAACCCTCAAGATTCGGACTGATGGAAAAAATGTCTTACAATGCCATAGTCTTATCGTGTCCACTCCCGCTGTCCGTGGCGCAGTCGAAAGCCTGTAGGGTCAATGAAGGTTAGTGGCCATAGTACTCTAGTATCCAAGCTTTACAGCTTGACCGCACAGAGATACGGTTACTTCAGCTGGAGAATAGGGATACCACACAAACTATGCGGTTCATCATGCATCATGCGTCACTTCAGAGTTCGCTTAGGTACTTCACTGTGCCATATTGCTAGGGTGCGCCGGTACCCATTGATGCACAGAAGGAGATATGTATTAACGGGATCCCTGTCCGGATCAGGCCGACGTTGTACTCATTTCTAGTGACAATGACGATCCACCGCCCACGGGCATTTATATGGATTAATGCTATATGCATATATTCCGATCAAACTGCAATGAAACACCTCGGAAACTTGAGGTTTATGCCTCAGTTTTCTGAGGCGTTTGTGTTACGGATTCGGCTAAACATCGGAAGGACGGACGCCTGATACATCGGAGAATAATCAGGCCACCAGCCAGGAGATGCGACTCAAGAGTGCATCCTTATTACTAGCACACTCCCCGCATAGGAGGCGCACTCTTTCCTCTCTTACGCTTTGAGTCGTGTACAGTATCGACCATATACTATAGAGATATCTTCTATATACGCTTATCGTTAGATTCTACCTACTTGCTAAGGAATCCCTAACAGTTTAATTTTGTCTCGGAGCGGAAAAAGTGATACTCCGTACTTTCACTATTTAATATATATATAATTAATATTAACGGTAGTAAATATTAAAGAATTAATTAAACGAGATAATTATCGTTATAATCTTAATATTAATATCGAAGAATCATCGGCAAATTTTCCCGCGCGACCCTGAGAGCCCTGGGCTACCCTGAGCTGTCAAGGTAAGTCTGCGTCTTACGTAGCCCATGAGACCGCTGGGCTCGCTGGGCTACTCTAAGAGGGCCCTGGGCTAATATAATAATTTATAACTTTACGAATATATAATTATACTAGTCGTTTAAACTAGTACTAACTAAGATTACTATATTATACTAAAATTAAAGTAGATATATATAAAATATAAGGTTTCGAACTAAATCTTAAATTATTAGCTTAATAGTGTTAGTATTTACTAAGATAAAGACTTAGCGAGTTATCCACTTTTAGTGTAAACCTTATTTTCGAAATAGGAAAGACCTTTTTAAATTTAATAATATTATATAATAAGTATATTATAAAAGTTACTAAAAATAGATAGTCTATAAGAGCTCATAGCCTAGATATAAGAGCTGTGAGCGACTGTGGGCTCCCTGGGCTCCCTGGGCATATAAGAATGCTGTGAGTCGCGGGAAAAATTGCTGATGATATTATGTTAAGGTTCCTACTAGGGCCTAACTAAGTTAGGGTTCCTAGTAACAATCCTAATAATATGAACTGGTTGTGAATTACGCAAGGTATGGACAGTTACTTATTAATAAAGAACAGAGTCTAATAGTTAACATAAGTTAGCTACGAAGGGAGTGTAAGCTATCTAGGGGTAATGGGGGTGTATATATAATGCCCATACTCTGTGCGCTCTATGCGCTCTATACGCTCTATTAATAAGGCCGATAGAGCCAGCAGAGCCAGCAGAGTATATCACGTAACTTAGCCTTATTCTCCTGTAAATCCTTCCATCTATTCAATGAGTGTAGTGAGCCGCGCCTTTATAGCTCGTAACCGGTCTCTCCCGAGACTATATCTAACACTATCCTTCCTCCGATTAAATTCTTATCCTAAGAATTTATCTTAGCGATGATATAAAAGCGAGATAGCGCTCAACTTAAATTCGTCTAGATCTAAAGATATCTTCTTCCTTTCTTTCTCTTCTTTCTTCTAGTATCCGAAAAGCTTCTTTTCGTTAACGTATCTCCGAATGTCGCTTTCTTACTGAGAAAATAAAACGTCTAGATTTTCGAACTATAGCTTTCTATTCTAATTATCGTAAGTCACCGTTCGCTATTTACTTTCTTCTAAAGAGAAATTCTCACTATAACGAATATACTTGAAAAAATATAAAGTGTAATAATTAATACTTCGAGAAAGAATTTTAATTCTTAGAGAAAAAGAAGAAAGAGTTAGAAAGTCACTGCCGAGAGATACGCGAGGGAATAACTAAGTGAATTCGACGATTATTTAATCGAATAATCTAGTGTAATGAGAGAAGTTTAAAGTAATGAATAGCTTTATAATTAACTAAAGCGTCGATATTAGACTAGAGTTCTTCTTATATAGTCCTCGGGAAATTATTATTTATAGAATAATTAATTAAGTTACGAATGGAAGAACTTTCTTTAGTTAAGTGTACGTACTGTGAAGAGACTATCTCACCGCCGTACGAGTTAATATCTATAGCTAGTAGCCTCGCCTTAGTTTAGTGATACCACTAATAAAATCTTCGACGAATACTTATAGATAGGTATCTCTCTACGAGCGGTGAGAGAAGATTACGATAAATAACTAAAATAAACTACTTACTAAACTAATAGAACTAAAGAATTATCTACTTATTTATCTATCTAACTAAATTTAGAGAAACTAACTATATATATAGAATCACTATATAGAGTATACTATTTAGATTATTAACTAAGTAAGTCTATCTCGCTATATAGAGCGATTTACGCTAACTATTTATAGAGACCGCTACTCGGGGTGTCTTTTAAGATTACTAGCTATATATATTTACTACCACTATATAGAGTGAAGATTAACGACTTAACGACTATTTAGACTATCTAGAAGAACTAAGAGAGAAGTATTTTCTAGGAACGTAGAAATATATTTAACTCTAAAAACTCCGAACTTAAAAAGCTTAGAAGGAGTTAAAGAACGAGAATCTACTCGAAAAATAATAAAAATAAGTAGTTAAACTAAACTCACTAAAATAAGCGAAGTTAGAGTATTATTAATCGAGAAGTAAATCTAAGATTTTAATAAAAATTACTAATAAAGACGAGAAAAAAGCTTAATAAAAAAGTTAATAAAGAGATAAAGAGAGAAAAAAGAGAAATAATTAAAAATATTAATAAAAATAATAAAAATAATAAAATATTTAGATCTTTTAATTTCGTTATTAAGATTTATATTATTTCGATTATAAAAGAAGAAATAAAAATAATTTAATATTAAAAAAATATTATTTATAGAAGAATTGAATAATAAAGAAAAATTAAAGTCTTCTACGATATTAAATATTAGCTTATAAATTTTATTAACGCCGAATTTAACGATATAACTATTATACGTCTTTTCTACCGTAATATTAATAAGAAAAATATTTTAAAGCTTAAACGAAAATAATAATCTTTTATACTTTAATAAAAAAAACGCTATCTCTTTCTTTAAGAAGTTTAAAGAGCTATATAAATATAATTAAATTATATTAAGCGAAGAATATATTTATAAATCTATTCGCTTTATATTTAAAATAGAGAAAGAACGCTATAAAGAGTTTACTAAATATAATATAATAAATTAAGAAAAGTTTAAAGAGAAGATCTTAAATAAATATAAAGATTAAGATAAAGTATAACGAATAATAAATATTTAATATCTTTAGATACTCGCGAAGCACCGATAAAAGAAATCTTAAAGTTTAGAACTATATTTTCGTTAATTTCGTAAGACTATAACTTACTTAATTAAAATTAAAGTCGAGATTAATTATACTTACTATCGCCTTCTTTTATTTAAATTATTAAAGACTTATATAGATAAAATTCGAAAGAAATAAAATTTAATAAATTAAAAGCTAAAGAATTTAAACTTTTAAAAATATTAAAATTAAGTAAAAAAGCTATAAAATATTAATAATAAAAATAAGAAGTTTATATAAGAAGTACTTAATAAAAAGTTTTAAGAACTAACGTACGAAAGAAAGACTTAACTTTTAGTCGTTTAAAAGAAAAAATCGTAAGAATAATATTATCGTAACGACCGTATAAATAGTAAAACGAAGTCCGATAGAAATACTTTATCGCTAATAAATCGATCTTTTATCTCTAAGAGTAATAATTAATTAATAAAGAAATTAATTCGTTTAATAAGAGTATTAATACTATCGATTTAAATATAAGACGCTATTACTTTAGACTTTTTAACTCGACTAATTAAGATATTAAAGAGCGTTTCTTAGAAAGTAATTTAATTCTCGCGCGATTAGTAATTTTAGAATCGTTTAGTTCGATTCGAAGAAAAGTCGTAATACTACGATAAATAATTTAATTAATAAAATTTAAACTTAAGTAATTC